CGTATTAGTATTTTTCACATATTAAAATGATTAGAATAAATTAAATTAATTATTAAAAAACTAAAAATTAATTAAACGACTTAGACTTAGATGATAATAATAATGAAACATTTATTAAAAAATAATTATAATAGGTCAGGTTAATATTTTATTTATTTATTTATTTATAACATCATAAAATTCTGTCCTTTCCGAAATACGCGAACGCTACGAAAAGATAAATCTCGTACATGCCGCCGGACGAGTTCATGAGCATGAGACGCTCTTATCTTGGGAACGTATTAATAGTTACTGCATTGACTACTACTACGATATGGCGCTGAAATCAGTGAGAAATGCTGGTCTCTCCTTCATCCAGACCTTTGGCGATCTGTCTATTAATCTGTGCCCACGGTAGGGAACTCCTAGAGTCTCTAGAAATAGGGACACTAAGCACCCCTACCGGCAAAAACGTGTCGCATAAGCAAATTTTATTGATTTTTGAGGTGAGGCCGGTATTCTAAATAATAATTACCAAAGATATTATTTGCATTGATTAGCAATGTAAATGATATGATTTTGATATATTTATTTATTAATAATCTTGATTTTTTGCTAATTACTGAATCTATTTCTTTTCACAGTATGAAAAAAATATGCAATAATACACGAAAAGTTAGATTAAATGGTCACAGGCAAGTACTCACGTGCTGTATATGCTGACTTTTTGTCTCTTCTCTTAAACTATTTATCACGATAACTTAAAACTTTTTATCACGATAATGCGTTCATTTTATTGACTAAACTTTGCTAAGGTCTCACTGCCTTACTCGACACGATTAATCACACCAAAGAACATAGACGAGTAAAGCACAGTTCTCGGTACCCCGCGAGTCGCACGAGCTGGGTTACTTTGCTATAGTTTACGTCACGTAACTGTTCTGAAATGCTATAGATAGTACAGTATACGTGACGTAAACTATAACAAAGTATCCCAGCTCGTGCGATTCGCGGGGTACCGAGAACCGTGCTTCTAATAGACAGATAGCCAAAGACTTGAATCACAGTATAAGTATATACAGTAGCGGCACTTAAGCGGAGAGCACACTTTTGCATAGGCGCATAAGCGTAAACATGAGAATCTTGATTGGTCTGTAAACGTATGTATAAGAAATTCAACCAATCGAATTTCTTATGCATATGCTTATACGCTTATGCAAGAGTGTGTGCTCCCCGCTTTAAGGTGCCTTTTCACGAGCCGCTGAAACCGATTGTTTGAGTAACAAAAATGATCACGTAACTTTTGTCGCTGAACTAAATAACCATAATTTTTGTAGATGAAAAAGATAGCAGCACGACAGAATTGAAAGTTGAGCGTTTGAGCAGTAAATGCTTTGTAGTTGAACTAATTCAAACTACAAAATTGTTGCTGAATTATGAGCGACAAATCTGTTGCTTCAATCACTTATTTTAGCGGACGTGAAATTGCACTTTTAGCGTCGGCACCTTTGATGTAAATGTTTCAAGTTACATATGATCTGTTGCTATTTTGAAAAGAGTATATGCGCGCTAGAGTTTAAATGTTAGATAAGCTACGAAAATAATTAGGCTCGTTCGTTTTCGCTGCATTTCTAAACTAGTGCAATAAGTTAGAATGAGAGAAAATATATTTATTTTATTGTAATTTATTGCACTAGAAATATCTTATTATAACATTTAATAATACATTTTTAACACAATTGATTGATCACAAAATGTATTATTACTAACCAATTGTTATCTGAAATAAAAATTGCGAGGAAATTGATACTGTGTAAAATACATGTATATAAATTTATTTATATTTATTTAGAAAAGATGAAATAAAAATAGACTGTAACGAAATATTTTAATAAAATTAGTAAAACAAAATTTAAATTTCGAATTCTTTCATATTCTTGTAGTCTTTTTTCGTACGGGGGTACTAATCCAAGTACCGAGTCACCGAGATCGCGTAGAGTTAGGCTCCAATACACGGGGGCAGCCATATTCTCTGTAGGATAAACTGACGCATACAAATTGGAGACGCATAAAATTGCGAAGTGCCGCTACTGTATATACTTATACTGTGCCGTGGTTGGGTACGGAAGTAGGGATGGGCGATATTCAAAATAAAATCGATTTTAATAACATCGATTTTTGAAAAAAGAATCGATTTTGAAAATCGATTTTCTATTTGAAAAAATCGACAAATCGATTAATCGAATAAAAAATTATTGATAATTAGGGTTATTATTTTTTTATTGAATTTTATAATATCTTGTTATTTTTTGTTTTTTTATTAATACATTCCAGTTGTGCCTTGTGCCCAAAGTTCTTCTACCTAAAAATTTATATATATATATATATACATATAATTCATTTAACTCATTTGTTTTAAATAAATGAATAAAAGGTCACAAGAATAGCAAAACACTCAATTGCATTAAGTTACAACACATTATATACTTAACAGTTATTTTACATTGGAATAAACTTTCGAATAAAAAACTGAAAATTAAATGACAGAAATAGGAAATGTTAGATAGAAAATAGGAACTGTCACCGTTTACTTTAAAAAAATATCATGCCTTATCTAGTAAAAAAACAAAACAGTCACAAAAGAGGAATACAGTAATACAGTTGCAGGAGTATAACAGTTTTGTTGTCACTCTAAACCCCAATCCTTTCGTGCAAGCGAACCGAGAAACAACAGTTTGTTTAAGTGCTCACCGGATAGTCTGTTCGATTGTCGGTTTTGATGTCGCCAGCTTGAGAAAACAGCCGTTCGGATGGCACCTACGTGCCAATAATACTGACGTATTTTATTGCCAATTTGTACAATGACGGAAATGCGAGTTTCATTGATGACCAATACTTGAGAGGATTTTCATAGCGCGGGATGACTGGTTGGCTGAAATATTGTCTTATTTCAAAACTAACGTCTTCGCTGTGAGCACCGTAGTCAGCTTTAGTCGCAACCAAGTGGTCATGAAAACTCCAGAGATCGTTTTTTGCTGTCGTTTCAATGGGTACTTTTTCATACATTTTTTGTACAGTATCCCTTTTAATGTAATCATTAATTCGCGATATTGCAGAAGAGCAGCCAGAGCGCTTTCAAAGTGGAGTTTTTTGAATCTCGGATCCAGTATATTTGAAATGGCTAGTATTTTATGCAACTCAAAATCTTTAAATCGTCTATTAATCGTTGCTTCAAGTTTTCTTTAAACTCGTGTCCATATTTTGTTGAAGGCTTATATTCTCGAACAGCCACTTTCAGGCAGCGAACTAACGGGATAATAACGCTACATGTTGGATAGGAGTCTCCACTGACTTCAGTGATGACACGTTCGACTGGTTTCATGAGGGATATAACATCTTTCAACATTTGCATTTCTTCTCGTTTTAACATATCTGGTGCAGTCGGACACTTCGACATAACCGGATAAACATATTCCTCGAGAGTAAGAAATCTTTCTAGCATGTAGAGCGTCGAGTTCCAACGTGTAGGAACATCTTGAATAAATTTTAACGTGGTTCCTTCCGTTTTTCCGTCTCGTATTTGCAGCTTCTTTAATTCATCGCAAGCCACGACGCTTCTTCTTGTAATTGTTACGATAGCCCTCACTTTTGCAATCGTTTCCCGCACAGTGGGCATAGCGACTAGTACGTCTGGTACGAGATGAGATAGAGTATGCGCAAAGCAGGCCAAATGTTTTGTCCTGTCCCACGAAGTCGCGTACAGCTTTTTTGATGTTGGCCGCACTATCCGTAACGACTGCCGTAATTCTCGATTGCTCCAAATTGAAGTCCTTTATAACTGAAGTTAAACACTCTCCGAGGTACTGTGATGTGTGGTTTTCACTCATCATCGAAAAACTCCAACGCATCCACTCTTCATTTCGATTTGTGGAGTTACATAGTGGATAGTGACGCCTAGATAACTTTGGTTGCCGACATCTGTCCAATTGTCACATGTTATGCAATAAGAATCAAGTTTTTTGAGAGTGGCTATAAAGCGCTCTTTCAATACATCATATCGGACGTCTATCAATCTTGTCATGGTTTTTCTGCTCGGCACAGTGTAGAGAGGTGCTACTGTTTTCATGAGTAATTTAAAGCCTTCGTTGTGCACTGTAGATAATGGCATTTTATCGACCGCGATCATATACAAAATGGCATTTGTAATTTTGTCAGACGTCTTGCCTCCTTCTGTTAAAATAAAATCACAAGTCCTTTGTCAAATAATCAAAAATTAAATAAAGATTTTTTATGGCATACATACCTAAAAATGATTTCGTACGCTCAAATGCTTCGTCGATTCTAATCAACTTTCCCTGTAATCAAAAGTATTTGTTGTTTTATTAAATTTATGAATCAGTCATTTTTCTATTTACTATAATTGTTTATTTACTTGTTATTATACTTTTTTATTTTTACTTGTTATTTATATACTTTATTACTTTATATACTTGTCATTTAATATTTATATTTATTTTATGTTTTACTTGTTATTTACATATTTTTTTTACCTGTGATTTGAATTTTCCTCGTTTCGACTGTGGAGGATCATCAGTAGAATCGTCACTAGATCCAGAAGTCACATGAACTTTTCGCTTCAGTCTATTAGCTTGGGGGCAAAACAATGCATGGCTTGCACTAAGGTGCTGAAACAAGTTTGTTGTGTTCCCGCCATGTTTATACACCTATTGCAATGCATGTTACAACGGGCCTGTAACATTAGTTTCTTTTTCAAAATATTGCCACGCTGCACTTGGTTGTTTTGACCTATTAAATATTAAATAATAGTTAAGATTAAGACAATCTTTCAGAATGACCCCTAAAAAAGGTAAAAATTGCAAAGAATACTAAAACAACTTACTCAGATTTAATCTTTGTTACGCCTAAACTTTTTGGTGGAGCTTCAGTTGGCGTGATAATCTTTGTTACGCCTGAACCTTTTGATGAGGCTTCAGTTGGCGTGATCTCCTCTTGGAGCTCTTGGGGCTATCACTAGTACTACTTGAGAATCTCGAGAATCATCTTCTGTATTCTCGATCAATGTACTATAAAAAAGCAGATATTAAATTAAATAAATTGAACAAGGCCATAAATCGTCAACAATTTTTACACTCACCAATCCAGATCATCAATAGATTGAAACAGTGTTTGTGTATCGATTTCTTCGTCGTCATTACTGATTTCGATTTCACTTCCATACAGATTGTGAAATGCTTCTTCGAATGCCTTATCGTTATCTAAAATTAAAAGAATACATATAGGGTATATGATAAGAATAAAATAATAATCTAATACACATTGATCCCCTCCCGGAGATATGTCTTTCCTTAAATAAATACGAAATATGTATACAATTAAAGAAATTATCATCACGTTTATCATCATCGGAAATCAACAAAATTATAGATTATAGATGTTGGAGGTTATGTGATATACTTAATCGAAAAATATAAATTTAATAGTTAGTACTTACCGTTTATGACATCCATCGCTGACTCGCATTAAATACGAAAAAAGTTCAGCAATTTTCAATTTTTGAGACAAAATCGAAATATATCTCCCGTCACACACCGACACATGACGCATTTTTTTGTTTCCTTCGTGCAGCAAGATTAAGATGTTAAGAAATGTTATGTTATGTTGGAATGTTGGTGTTGGGAAAAAGATAAAGTTGGCAGTATTGAAAACTTACCAGTGCTGCGTCGTTGTTCTCCCAATTAATTTTCAGCTACCAACTTTATCTTTTTTCCCAACACCAACAAAATCAATTTTCGAACGCACTCATGTAGAAAGATAGGTATAATTATTTCGATATTGCCTCATAAAAATCGAAAAAATCGATTAATCGACCGACAAAAAATCGATAAAATATAATCGATTATTTGGATTAAAAAAATCGACATCTCCGATTAATCGAAGAACTCGCCCATCCCTAGTAGGAAGCACAGATTAATAGACAGATCGCCAAAGGTCTGGATGAAGGAGAGACCAGCATTTCTCACTGATTTCAGCGCCATATGTAGTAGTGGTCAATGCAGTAACTATTAATACGTTCCCAAGATAAGAGCGTCTCATGCTCATGAACTCGTCCGGCGGCATGTACGAGATTTATCTTTTCGTAGCGTTCGCGTATTTCGGAAAGGACAGAATTTTATGATGTTATAAATAAATAAAAATAAAAATTAACCTGACCTATTATAATTATTTTTTAATAAATGTTTCATTATTATTATCATCTAAGTCTAAGTCGTTTAATTAATTTTTAGTTTTTTAATAATTAATTTAATTTATTCTAATCATTTTAATATGTGAAAAATACTAATACGTATACGTTTTATAATGAATTAATATATTTCGAGAGTCGAATATATATTTTTAATAATATAAAAGTGTTCAAAAATTATATTTGACTTTTAATTTTAATTATTTTAGCAAAGAGTTCCGAAATCTCTTACACACATAATAGGGATTTTGTTCATCCATATAATTCGCAATTAAGTATATATGTTAATTATTAATTTTAATAAAATACAAAATTAAATTAAAGGTCAAATATAATTTTTGAACATAAATATATTTAATTCTTGTTATAAAACGTATACCCGTGATAGTATTTTTCTCGTACAAAAATAACTAGAATAAATTAAATTACTCATAAAAAAATAAAAAAATAATTAAATAATTTATATTTTATATGATAAAATAAAACATTTTATAAAAAAACAGATTCAATAAATATAAGTATATATATAACATGTACTTATATTTATTGAATCTGTTTTTTAATAAAATGTTTTATAAGCTTAGAAAACTTGACTTCGACGTAACTAGCAAATTTTATTTAATTATTTCACGACGGTTTGACGTAATAAAATGTTTTATTATTATTATATAAAATATAAGTTTAAATTCTTTAATTAATTTTTAATCTTTTATGATTAATTTAATTTACTCTAATTATTTTGTACGAGAAAAAACTATCATGGGTATACGTTTTATAATTAATTTAATATATTTGTGTTTAAAAATTATATTTGACCTTTAATTTTAATTTTTATTTTATAAAATTAATAATTAACATATATACTAATTGCGAATATATGGATGAAAAAAATCCCCATTATGTGTGTAAGAGATTTCGGAACTCTTTGCTAAAAATAATTAAAATTAAAAGTCAAATATAATTTTTGAACACTTTTATATTATTAAGAATATATAATTCGGTTCCCGAAATATATTAATTCATTATAAAACGTATACGTGATATTATTTTTCTCATATAAAAATGACTAGAATAAATTAAATTAATTATTAAAAAACTAAAAAGTAATTAAACGACTTAGACTTAGATGATAATAATAATGAAACATTTTATTAAAAAAAGATTCAATAACTAGTAGGTCAGTTATAATTTTTTATTTATTTATTTATAACATTATGAGCTATTAAGCTCATCATCTCGTTCGCTCTCTGTCTTGCTTTCATTCGGCAAGTCACAAACGATATATGATACTCGTATGTTCCTACTTCAACTCTCGAGAATCTGAAACAAACGAAACTCGTGTCCAATATACAGGGTGTCCGGTAACTAACAGACCAATGATTACAAATGGATTCTTTGGTCAATTTGGGAACGATTTTTCTCAGCGAAAATGTCGAAAAAGGTCATCATTTTTTACAACTTTCCAATCTTTGTCATTATGTATCTTTATAACTAAGCCTTAAATTAAAATTTTATTATAGTAAACTCTACCTGAAATTAACTGAAGAATGTAATTATGTTAGACTTTTAACTCCAAAACGTTTAGTTTTCAAAAAACCTATTTTTTTCAATCGCTTATAACTCGAAAATTATTGACTTCTCTACATTTTTGCTAAGAAAAATCGTCTCCAATTGGCCAGAGAATCCGCCCTTAATCATTGGTCCGTTAGTTACCGGACACCTGTATATATTATATAAAAGTGTATAGCACGTCAGAAGCTTGTGAGCTTACAGCGATAAGTAAAAACAATTGCGTATCTATTTCATTGCGTTTATCTGTTTAAACGCGCGCTTTAATTTTTCCAACGTTTTTGCCTGTTTATATTTTAAAGGTCCTCTCTTCTAAAAATCTTGTTTTAAAGATCCTCTCCGCGAGCAAAATTCGAAAACATAAATTATTTAATATTTTTACTTTATTATTTGTAAATCCTCGGTAATTTCAAAATTTTCTATTTGAAAATTATTAATTTTCTATTGCCAATTAATTTTATCACAGACTTTACTCTTACTCCATTGCACTTTCGTTTGCGGTTTTCAGTATACGATTTTTATCGTAGTTACTGAAAATTATTATTGTGAATTATACTTGTGCAGTGATTTGAAGAATTTACAATTTCGTTGAAATTGTTGATTCTTCAAAAAAATTACGAGATTCGCGGAAATTGCGTGCTTTCTTGGCATTTTCCGTTCGCGGCAGGCGGTTTATTTTTGATTGTTGCAAGTGTTTTTTTTTTTTTTTTTTATAAAATAGATAATAATAATGTGAAATAAATCACGATATTTGACAGATGTGCATATATATAGAAATTGTAATAATAATAATATTATATCATAAAATTGTAAATTGTTTCAATTTTTTATAGACTGCGATAAAAGATTTTACATTTGGATAAGAAACTGCGGTAAGTAAAAATATAAAATTCTTGAAAACGTACCAAAAATTTTGATAACGTAAAAAGGTGAACTTTGAAAAATAAGGAACTTAAAAATTGCACTAATAAATGGGCTATATGTGAGCCGTGCGCGGATGTAAGGTGTGTTATATCGAAATTTAATTAATAGAATTGAGAATTAATCCCAATTTTAAGTCTTACAAATGTCCAAGCTAATTTTTTGTACCTCGTGTACATTTTTGAAAGTTATATCGAAAAATTAAATTTCAATATGCGTCTTACATCTCACATTTCGCATACGGCTCACATATAGCCTATTTATCTCTTATACTTTATTTCAACCCTTATAGAAATTTATTACTAGTAACGCCAATTTATCACTTTTTTTCGAGTAATTAATCACTTTTATTTCGAATACTTAAATTACTGTATATTATAGTATTTTAAATACTCGAAATAAGTGATTAATTGGCGTAGTGATAAATTTCTACAAGAGAATAAGGAGCCTTTAAATTCTTAATGTAAAAAATTTCAAGTAATTTTCTTTAATAAAATTTAATTAAAAATTTTTGAACACTGTGTTATATCACATTTAAAATCGTGATTATTTCAATAAAAAAACATTTTATGTGTAAAAAATATATTTTTTATATTTAATAAATTTTATATATATATATATATATATATATATATATATATGCTATGTAAATATTCTCTCTCTCTCTCTCTCTCTCTCTCTCTCTCTCTCTCTCACTCTCTCACACACACACACACACAACGGGGCCAAATCTCTCAAATTGGTCTCATGATCAATTAGCCTGGATTCGCACCAGGGGCAAAGTCTGTTGGTAATGTCAAACGAATTTAGCCTGGACTTGCACCAGGGGCAAAGTCTTTGGTCGAGTCTACGAAATTTAGCACGGACTCGAACCAGGGGCAAAGTCTTTTGGTTCAAGTCTACGAAATTTAGCACGGACTCGAACCAGGGGCAAAGTGTGTCGGTAAGGGGCAAAGTCTATCGCACGAAGATGGCGGTCTCTTCTTTAGGCAGGCCTTTGGCGATCTGTCTATTAATCTGTGACGGAAGAAAGGGGCCGAA